TCCCTAGCCCCACAATCATCTCTTTCCCTAGCCCCACAATCATCTGTTTCCTTGCCCCACAATGTTCTGTTTCCCTAGCCCCACAATTATCTATTTCCCTAGCCCCACAATCATCTGTTTCCCTAGCCCCACAATGTTCTGTTTCCCTAGCCCCACATTGTTCTGTTTCCCTAGCCTCACAGCGATCTATTTCCCTAGCCCCACAATCATCTGTTTCCCTAGCCCCACAACCATCTGTTTCCCTAGCCCCACAATGTTCTGTTTCCCTAGCCTCACAGCGATCTATTTTCCTAGCCCCACAACCATCTGTTTCCCTAGCCCCACAACCATCTGTTTCCCTAGCCCCACAATGTTCTGTTTCCCTAGCCCCACAATGTTCTGTTTCCCTAGCCCCACAATCATCTGTTTCCCTAGCCCCACAATCATCTGTTTCCCTAGCCCCACAATCATCTGTTTCCCTAGCCCCACAATCATCTATTTCCCTAGCCCCACAATCATCTGTCTCCCTAGCCCCACAATCATCTGTTTCCCTAGCCCCACAATCATCTGTTTCCCTAGCCCCACAATCATCTGTTTCCTTGCCCCACAATGTTCTGTTTCCCTAGCCCCACAATCATCTGTTTCCCTAGCCCCACAATCATCTGTTTCCCTAGCCCCACAATCATCTATTTCCCTAGCCCCACAATCATCTATTTCCCTTGCCCCACAATCATCTGTTTCCCTAGCCCCACAATGTTCTGTTTCCCTAACCCCACAATCATCTATTTCCCTAGCGCCGAAGAACCGGGTTCGATTCCCAACATGGGTACAATGTGTGAAGCCCATTTCTGGTGTCCCCCGCCGTGATATTGCTGGAATATTGCTAAAAGCGGCGTAAAACCTTATTCACTCACTCACTCACTCTATTTCCCTAGCCCCACAATTATCTATTTCCCTTGCCCCACAATCATCTGTTTCCCTAGCCCCACAATCATCTATTTCCCTAGCCCCACAATCATCTATTTACCAAGCGTCAGGCTTCTCCTTTTCCCTACGCTCACACTGTTTCCCTAGCGCCAAATTGCTGTTTCCCTGGCGACACACACCTCTATTTCCCCAACTGGCGTCCTTGATACTTTTAACATTTCATAGTGACCCCTCCCTCTTGCAACACTCCAAATTCTCAAGCGTGTTCAGTCTCTACTCAATCACAGCTCCAAACACCAACCCCATGTAGAGGCAACACCATGCAGCGGTCTTACCTTCAGCAGGTAAACACAAGTTCATTGGGAACGCAAACAATTGCCGAAACAAATTTAAGTTGACCTAGACTAACATCTAGTCTCTGAAATGAACACATCTTACATAAAAAAACAGTTGTTCAGTTATCTTGATAAAAAATAATAAAAAGGAGCCCAGTGACTCTCTTCATTTTCAGATACTGCAGTGATCTCGCACGGGCTGTATTTGATATATATTTGTATCAGGGTCTGTAAGACAGACTAAAGTTACCCACTGTCTTTGTTTTGTTCAGCGTTCCACTGGTTTGACATGCGTGTAATATTTCACAATGGAGGGGGGTGGGGTAGGGGTGGGGTGGGGTGGGGTGGAGTGGGTGTAACAGCACAAAGCGTTAAAACTCGGCAAAGTCTGAGATAATGCTACAGTAGTTTTGTGCATGCGGGCATCGTCAGTGTAAAGGCCATAGCCACTGTAAGCTACACCCATGCGGTTGCATAACTTCAGATTGTATGACTTAAGTTTGCTTAGTTGTACTAATGAGCTTCTATTGTGAGCGACCTCTTAACACGTTGTGAAGTACATATAACTGGTAGGTGTATATCTCCTGTCGCTATTGTCAGCTAGTGTAAATATAGGCTGGTAATCGTTGTCCACGCGGTCTATTAATTGGGTGAAATTCATTGTCCATACCAACTGCACATACTTGTAGATGGCCGTGATAGAGGTGTGACAACCAGTGCGGTCGGCTTGGAGTATGAATGTGTTGGTGATATTGAGGTTGATGACAATCCTACTTCAACACAGGTGCAGAATGTTGTACAGTAAACTACGGTTTATAACGACTACGCTTATAACGAACTGACGGATATAACGAACTGACGGATATAACGAACTTACTTTTTTAGTCCCGACTATTTGCTGTAGTTATGCTGTATATATGCTTATAACGAACTAAGGTTATAACGAACAAAAATTAGTAGTCCCTTTGAGTTCGTTATAACCGTACTTTACTGTACATCGTTTTGAGTCCCCGTGGGTTTCCGGGTTATAATTGGTTCCCAGTGCTTGTTGTAAGAGTCGACCAAATGGAACGGGTGGCCGGGGTCAGTGACTCGGTTGATTGTGTGTCATCGTACCCCGACAGTGTGGCGCGTTGCTCATAATATCAATCACTGGATAGTCTGGTCAACACTTGATTATTTATAGGCCGCATTCGTATAGCTAAAACAAGATTCTGGGTCCGTCATCTTCACATGAAGGAAGGAATTCGCAGTGTAAAGGTGCGTCCTTTACCGCGCCAGAAAGATTCTGGGTTCGATTCTTTGATTCGCCATGATTACATTCCTAGGTTTGTCAGAAAAAAATGCCCGTTTTCGTTGGTTTCATTAAAGTGGTCAACGTCTAAGACCTGTACCACTTCGGGCTTCCCTGTCACCTGACACCAACTGACAGACAGACAGACAGACAGACAGATTTATTCAGTAATCAGGCCTCCAGCCCATAATACATGTTAACATAATGTAGATCATAGATGCTTATATACTATGGCGTTATGTTAAGACAAATAGTTTTAGAATACGTTAGAACAGTGATGAGTTACGTATATTCATAACTTTAGATAGGAATAGTCCAATGTGTTTTCAAGTTCTTGTGGAGTTTGTTGACATAAGGTTTAAAAACTGTTGAAATGTGGTCAAGTTGATTTCACTTTCAGCAACGCATTCTCTTCTTGCAGCTCGGTATCTGTCACAGATTGACAATACATGATACTCATCCTCAATTAGAGTTAAACCTTTGTAGTGGCAATACACGCACACACGTTCTTCCTATGGGATTTTAGAATGTTTTCCAGTTTCAACTGCAAGTTTAAAGTTGTTACACCTGAACATACATATTAATCTTTTATAATAAGCAGAGATTTCACATGATAATAAGTATGTTTCTACATAAAGGAGAGATTTGTACTGTGAGTAATATTTGCATTTAGATGAGAGACACCAAATGATATAAGTTTAATCCTTTACTCACTTACTCTCCTCACACGAGATACCCATGTGACGTCACGAGTAGCACCAAGAGTCGCGTCCCTTTACAAGAGACATTAGTCGTGGGTTCAATTCCCAGGTTGTCCCTGACTAGCATCATTGCTTTATGAAGTGCCAACATCCACGACCATACGTCATATCGGGCATTCCTCCCACATTAATCTGACAAACCGTGAAATATTGGCTTTAAACCCACTCACTTATGTTTACGTATTGGAAGGTCAAGATCAGATAGGAAATGAGATCACGCCCATGTTTGTCCCAACCTTCCTGGTTTCAATAACAAATAAAGTAATAGTGGATCGAGTGCTGGGCGCAATGGTACATACGTGGCATTCTACTTTTACCGTGTATATTTAGTTTGTACATCACTCAGGATACATTTTAAGACAGATTCATAAAAAAACTAGTAAAAGGTATTTGTGAAATTCTAAATGGAATTGCTCTTTGTTTCGTTTTTTAAGTATTTTTATGGATCTGTTATAAAATTATCCAATGTAACGAGGCTATAATAAGATATCTGCCTGTCTATCTTTGACAACGTGGCGTTAAGTAATGTTTGGGGGCAGAGAAAGGTCGCCCCGACCCCTATCTATGAGGTAACGTGCTGAAAGGCAGATACATAGGGCTATATTCAGACATGGCTTCATATTTCAGATGCAAATAGATATGCGAATGTCATACATAATGCGTTAACTCGTCTCGTTCTTATTTTTTATTATCATGTGCATGTGTTGTAAATAAGATAAGCCATTGTTGACCGCGAATAACATGTTACGCATGGAAGTTCACGGTTGTCCGGTATCGATACCCGGAAAACCATTGAAGACCCCGATTGACAATCTAATATTATCTAAAATTAATTTCAGATACGATCTGATGTAGCGGCAGGCAAGGGCTTGTTATCGTGTTATCGATTGTGCACGTGCTGAGTAAGAGGACCTGGTTTCCCATGAGTAAGAAGTGATGACGTCATTTCAGTGAAACAAAGAGGTGCAGATGGAACCACAATATTACTATTTTACCCAGGAAATGAAGTATCCTCGCAGACAATTTGCAGAATTGGTTATGTTAAAACTATTTAATTAACATGTATTGAATAACACGCCTCGATTCAGTTTCAACGAAATTGCGGAAATAAATAAAATATTCTAACGCTCGATTAAGGAACGTGTTCCCCTAAGAAAGATTTCCTCATTTACCGGGTTTATATAAAATTGACAACTTTTAATGATCTGAACAAACAGCATCATGAATTGGAGAATACTGTTTTCTTAGTGATGAAAAAATGTCCTTGTTAGAACGGATAGGCAGTGTGACAGAGAGGTTCTACTGTGAGTTCAAATAAACGCTATAATATCCAAATTTATTATATTCGTTGAAGATAAATCGTAAAAAAATATTTTTAAAAACGAATTAGGATTCAATTCACGATATCTATATTTTAGATGTTTAGAAACATTTGTTATGTTTATTATGGGATAAATAAACAGACCTAATAAACGTGTCCGTGTTTTTACAGTAAGCCTTCAGATACATCCAGGGTTGCTGGCTGCAATGATTTGAAGGCAGAAACAACACGACACGGTAATAACTAGGCAGTGCAAATATCATCCCGTTCAGTGAAACAAAGCGAGTTGGGGTGACCTCGCGAGACCAATACACATTGCATGAGCTTTACGTGAAGAGATATAACAATGCACCTACATTGGTGACAGAAAAAAACTCACTTACCTTGATTTTGTCGTTTATGTCTGCTCTCAAGCTTGTATCCTTCGACCAAGAAGTTTGTAAACATAAACGCTACGATCGAAACAGTACACACAACCTTGTACATCTTGAACCTAACGTGAACTGTCAGGGCTTGTCCTACAAACGTGCGGTATTTCGCTTTGAGATGCAATCCGTTTGAATTGTTGCGTTTTATACACAGGTGAATCTTATCAGCTGATACGCTCGGCAGGTGTAAGACGCCAGGTTAAACGCCGCCAATCGCTCCAACAGAAAGTACACACAAACAAATCGTTACGCTTCAGTTACACTCAACAAAGATAGTTTTTAAAAACTGTATCCCAGCAATTAACGCAATCCAATGAAGACAACAAGTTGACGACTTGCAGTGAAGTATGTCGTATATGACAGGTGTAGTTCAAACTGTTATCAATACTATGACGTCACAGGTTATTGGAGATCTGACGGGTCACCTTGTGCGACTAATTGCGAGTCTGGCGCCTAAAACAGAGCGGTGCTAAATACTTGCAGTACACTCAACAAAACATGGAGTAATCCTCTACAGACGTCTGTTGAACAGAGAAGCGGCCAATGGAAGTAAACAGCCCCAGTGTGCAAACATGACGACTACGCGGTTGTGGAGTCTTTGAGGCTGATTCATTGTTCTATTTTTAGACTCGGAAATCCGCGCTATGACTAATGCGGGGATCCCCGTGCGCTTAGCGTTAATGTATGGGATTATGCCCCTAACAGCAATGTAATACGGTTTTATGACATAATCTTGTTATGTCTATTTTGGATGAATGCCATTTCCTTGCTTGGGTGACGTAAATCTCAGATTAACAGAGATTTATAAACGACACGTGTCACGTGTATAATGTCACGCTCTATGAACTGATGCGTCAGAGTGTTTAGCGTGATGTATTCTTCACCTGTTGTCTTATCTGTAATTCAGGTTTAATCATGTTAGCGACATGTTTGTATTACGACGTGGCAATATGCTGGCATGATAAACATGTTTCTGTAGATATCATTGTATTGTGTTGCCTTCTAAATCAATTACGATTGACTGTTTGATTGGTATTCTAGAAGTTGAAGAGTAAACATGAAAACGTAAAAAATCATGGATAACGGCATTTTTCAAAATTCCAAATTTAAATAAATTAAATAAGCAGCCCCAAAGTCCCCCAAGTTGCCCTTCCTTTTCGGACATACCCTCCTCGGCAAAACCACTGATTGGCCTGGCGGGCCCGTGTGCGCGAAATATGCGTAAAGTCGGAAAGCGCACGTAAAAACACCAACTCTCTCTCTCTCTCTCCCCCCCCCCCCCCCCCCCCCCCCTCTCTCTGTCATGGATAATAGGATAATAACGCCGACCTTTACCAATAAACCCGAAGTTGTTATCCATAAAGTTGGACGTTTTCTCAATTAAGATTATATTATATTACGCACTTATCCAGTTACTAGTGTCTTCTGAAATGCGGTTTGTTCCCCGACCAGTAGATCCGTATGCATTCCACTTATCACTCTCAACTCCCTGGGGAGTATACAAGCCACGCTGCCTTCGGGCGCTTCGACGGTTTTAACATCCACTCACAATTAGGGCACCGCTCTCCCCCTGGGTGAAATATAAAAAGAGGCACATTGAACTAAGTCACATGTCACGTTTTGACACTTGTGCTGCGGGTGTATGACCGTATTCGTGTTTCCACCATCTTGTCATCTTTCACCGGGTAAGTGGGTTCTTTTGACTGCACAGATACACTAGGGGTAGTGGCAATCTTGGAGTAGGCCAATTAATAACAGCACTATGACCAGATGATCGCATGACTTGCATGAATGTGTCATATTCCATCGGTATTATCTTACAGCTTTAAATATTCCATTGATAAATATCGGTAGATCTTCTTTCTATACACTATTCCAACGACCGGTTTCAGTTGGTACACGACCTTCCTATTTAACACTATTCCAACGACCGGTTTCAGTTGGTACACGACCTTCCTATTTAACACTATTCCAACGACCGGTTTCAGTCGGTACACGACCTTCCTACTTAACACTATTCCAACGACCGGTTTCAGTTGGTACACGACCTTCCTATTTAACACTATTCCAACGACCGGTTTCAGTTGGTACACGATCTTCTTTCTATACACTATTCCAACGACCGGTTTCAGTTGGTACACGACCTTCCTATTTAACACTATTCCAACGACCGGTTTCAGTTGGTACACGATCTTCTTTCTATACACTATTCCAACGACCGGTTTCAGTTGGTACACGACCTTCCTATTTAACACTATTCCAACGACCGGTTTCAGTTGGTACACGACCTTCCTATTTAACACTATTCCAACGACCGGTTTCAGTTGGTACACGACCTTCCTATTTAACACTATTCCAACGACCGGTTTCAGTTGGTACACGATCTTCTTTCTATACACTATTCCAACGACCGGTTTCAGTTGGTACACGACCTTCCTATTTAACACTATCCAAACGACCGGTTTCAGTTGGTACACGATCTCCTATATGTGGCCAGCATTAGGGCTTTGTATTGTATTCTGTGATGTGGCTTGAGACAGTTTCTGCTATAATAAGGTGAAAGACCTCACAGCCATAGTCTTATGTTGATCTGATCATTGACATGATTGCTCCTAAGGAGGTGTTGATCTAGGATCCGCCTAGAAATTTTCCGGATTAAAATTAGATTGGTTTGCTTTTTATGGAGAGACGGGGTATCATAGCTTCTTTTGAATAGAACCCCGTCATTTTTTGGCACTTGAAATGAAGGAAGAACCCTAATTTATAGCCACATTGATCTTCTCCGTCCAGGGCTGACTGGAGTATTTTTTCGGATATGTGAAATATCACTGTGTTTTACCCATATCGCTCCGTCATCAGCGAATTTAGAAGTTTGGGTAGGAGAGTTGACATGGGCAAAAAGATAATTGATCATGATGTTAAACAGGGTTGGGCTTCTAATGCTGCCTTATGTCGTGCCGTTGTCCAGTGATATAAGATCAGATTGATTGTTCCCTATTTTAATTTATAGCGACCTTTCTTGCAGGAGGCTGTCAATGATGTTTACAATGTTCCCTTCTGCTCCATTTCGTGCTAGTTTTGTTAGGAGTCCGTCATGCCATACCATGTCGAAGGCTTTGCTGAAGTCCAGAAATACTGCGGCTAGTTATTGTCTTTTTTAATTTCATTTTCCAGTCTTAGTATATGATCCAGACATGAATGTCCCTTCCTCATGCCGCTTTGATCCGGTTTGGTGTGGTTGCTAGTTTCCCGGTGAAGCACGAGCCTTTTGTAGCCATGACTTACATTGTTTTGCACATGTTTAAAGTGAGAAAGATAGGTCGATAAGAGTTTGGTAGGGCTTCGCCTTTCCCTTGCTTTAGAAGAGCGATAACTGCTGCATGTTTCCATGCTTTGGGGGTTTCTCTTTTGGACCATATCGTTTTGTACAACTAAGTGAGTCAGCTCTTGGTTTGATCAGGTAGATTTTTCAATATCTCGTAACTGGTTGTATCAAGACCAGGTGCAGTGCCTTTTCGATGTTGTATTGCATCGTCCAACTCTGCCACAGTAAATGGTATATTGTAGGCCAGAAGCTTGCTGATGTTTTAATATCTTAGGCATGAGCATTCCCGAATGAATTCTTTGCTGCAATTTTTGTTGCTGCTGACAGATGAGAAGTGCTCAGCATGAATGTTGGCATTTTTATTGACTGTATCGGCGTTGGCTAACTTGGCAATATGTTTAAATTTACGCTTGCCCCTGGTTGCGTGTATTTTGCCCGAGGCTGTTTAAGCATTTGGGCTATTTTTCATTTAGAGATTTGCAGAAGGTGTGCCATGACTCTGGTGCAATGGGTAAACTGGATCAATAAATATGTGTTCAATCCCGCCATTCCCGAAACCTATGTTAACGCTCCATTTAACTGGGGATTATAGCCTTATCCTTGAAAGTAACATGTCTGGTAGGAATGGTTTGATGGGCATACTTAGAAGTTGACGGATGACAAAGTAGACACAATTCATGGATAACAACTTCTTTAAGTTCTGTAAAGGCGACGCTTCGGTATATATATCCTTATGCCGTCGCCTTTACAGTAAGTAAAGACGTTGTTATCCTTTACAGTAATTTTAAGAAGTTGTTATCCTTTACAGTAATTAAAGAAGTTATCCTTTACAGCAATTAAAGAAGTTGTTATCCTTTACAGCAATTAAAGAAGTTGTTATCCTTTACAGCAATTAAAGAAGTTGTTATCCTTTACAGTAATTAAAGAAGTTGTTATCCTTTACAGCAATTAAAGAAGTTGTTATCCTTTACAGTAATTAAAGAAGTTGTTATCCTTTACAGCAATTAAAGAAGTTGTTATCCTTTACAGCAATTAAAGAAGCTGTTATCCTTTACAGCAATTAAAGAAGTTGTTATCCTTTACAGTAATTAAAGAAGTTGTTATCCTTTACAGCAATTAAAGAAGTTGTTACCCTTTACAGCAATTAAAGAAGTTGTTATCCTTTACAGCAATTAAAGAAGTTGTTATCCTTTACAGTAATTAAAGAAGTTGTTATCCTTTACAGCAATTAAAGAAGTTGTTATCCTTTACAGTAATTAAAGAAGTTGTTATCCTTTACAGCAATTAAAGAAGTTGTTATCCTTTACAGCAATTAAAGAAGTTGTTATCCTTTACAGTAATTAAAGAAGTTGTTATCCTTTACAGCAATTAAAGAAGTTGTTATCCTTTACAGCAATTAAAGAAGTTGTTATCCTTTACAGTAATTAAAGAAGTTGTTATCCATAAATTGTGTCCACTACATGTATGTCTGTCAGGGCAGTCTGGTGGCCTTTTCTTTGATCTTGACCGTTGTAACAACAATACTACATAACAATAGGGTCAAGAATAGCGGGGCGACCCCTATGTACACAATTTTATCAAATGTAAAGTGTCATTAAATGTTAAGTATAATATTAAAGTATCCATTTAAAGCTGCTTTGCTTTGTTTGTCAGATCTTATCTGGACTATTCCATTTTAAAGTCTGAGGTAACAAGCATAAGGATTAGTGTGCACTCAACCGTTTAAAGTGTTGTTATAAGCTGTCTAACTAATGGGACGTCTAACTAATGGGGGGACACCTACACAATTGCTTTTTTAAATACCACTCCTTTGATAGACATTTAGATGTTGGAAGAACATGAATACATGACACTTTCTTATGGATACAGATTCGTTTATTCGTTGTAACGACGTTTCAGAGCCACTTCTTTCCCCCTTATTAGGTGAATAAGATAAGTTGCTATCCATAAGAAAGTGTCATGTATTCATCGTCTAGAAAATACAAACAAAACGTGAACAATGGATGTGTTCAGGTAACCAATGAGGTTTCATTTCAAGAACGGCTTGAGTGTAAAAATACACATGATACCACAAGGTTTACTCGAACAAATTGTTTATTTTGAGAGATAAGTTCAAAGAAGGATAAGATATATGGATGAACAACTTCTTTATTACAACTAGGAGCAACATTTCGGTGTAAGTTTTATCACAGTTTTCAAGCAAGTGATCAAAATTGATAATATGACGCCGAAACGCCGCCTATTTGTAAT